ACTAGAAAAAAGAAAATTCTACTCAAATTTTTCCATTTCCGGCCATCTAGAGGTGCCATAATCATTAATTTTCTTGAACCTCCGTCTGTGAAAATCCCTCTGTGGGCTCCCTATATACAAAATGCCTGGATCCGCCACTGACATTAGTGCCCAAGCACCTAAACACAATATGTAGTTCTGCAAATGTTGCCCTCTATAAAGCTGGCAAAATCTTGAAGCATCTTGCGTGCGCATATTGTTTATAATCTCGCGCTCGCAGTCACAACTTTCACAGTAAAGTTGGTCACATTGTATAGTTTTCATTACGCACGACCCCAGTAAAAATATGTTTAATAAAGTTGAATTAAGTTTTAGCTAGTTTAGCAGTAAGATTGGCAATTGATTATATATTAAAACGTGGGCCTATGAGGAGTCAACCACTACTCATTTTATATTATTATTATAATATTATTATTATTATTATTATTAATATAAATATTATTTACAATAATCCTTTTCTATCTTTAAAACGTGTGTAAATAAGAACATTGAGCCTGAAATTGGCCAAACATAAGAACACTGAAACTCGACAAAACTGGTTCTTAAAAAAAAGTGTACTAAGGGGTCCAATTATCAATATTTTCACAAGTGTAAAAAGAGTACACCTTTTCATGACCTCCATATCTACCCCCCCCCCCCCCGAAAGTGTACAAGAAAAATGTTGATTTTTTTTTGGCATCTAATAAATCAGAATTCGGAACAGCCAGTTCAATAAATAAATAGTCAATACAAGACACATTAAATTGTACTATATGTAAAACAATACATTTATTTATCTCTACAGTGGCTCTCATGGTAGCGGCTTATTTTAGCAATAATGATAGTCTCCTGACCATCAATATGTTATAATTTAATTACAGTATACACAGTATTTGTTTGTTATAATTTTTGGACAAATAAAACAATCTGAGTTCTGAGTTCAGAGTTCAGTTCTGAGTTATTGTTGACTAATCCGTATGAAGAAGTGTACATCGCCACTAACTGACAGCCAAAGCCGTAACAGGAGCACCTTTTGGTTCATCAACCTCCACATGAATAGGAAGTGAAGCAGCAACAGTTTCAGTACTCTTAGCAGTTTCAGATGTAGCTTATAGCCTAGTAAAGAAAAAATATAGAGAAAAATAATGTTGACAGTATTTATTCCAATAAACAGGACTTTTATTCGAATAAATAATGTACTGTACTTTCAGTTTAGTAATATTAAAATAATGCCAGTATTAAAATCAGGGAAAAAATGCACACACAAAGAATTTAAAACAATGAAGTATTGTTGTTATAATACTCTTAACGATCTAATTAATTTGTCTGGTAGGCTTAATCTTATTTTTATGTTGTCTAAGTGGGTGATCATGTCCATGATTAAAACACAAATTTACCCTATTAGGCCTGTCTGTAACTGTGACCCATGGTACACGAACCAATAATAAGGAGCTTTCGATTGCACGACGACGGTAGGACGTAGAACGTAATGACGTCACTAAAAGTCATCTGCGCATGCGAGAACGTTAAGGTCACCTCGCCGAGTAGATTCTACAACGCAATTTGGCCAAATCTACGTATGCAGAAGGTAGGACGCCAGGTAGGGCGGTCACGCATGAGTGATTCCGTTCTAGCGTCACGTCGTCGCACAAATCGAAAGCTCTCTATTGTTCTTATACCGTTGAAAATCCTTTCATTATGCTTAGTCGGGCACCTTTAAATCAATATTTAATGTTCATTTTTTTAAAATCATGAATATGCGCTCACTGCTGGCCCGGGATAAAGAAAAAAACCATTAAAGAAAGATGAAATAGGGTCAAAGATGGTCCTGTTTTCTTCAAGGACGACACTTACATGGAAGACAGAATTTTCCTGCAATGGAATTCTTTTCCCGGAAATTTTCAACAAATTTCCTGCTAATGCCAAAATAAAAGTTCACACTATGGATCGTGATATTTGAAACTCCTGACAAGACCCTCCTCCCCCTTTTAGGTAAAGTACGGTGGAAAATAATACACATTAAAAAAAAAACATTAATTTACATCTATTTAACTGTTTCTGGGAACTTACTCGATCCTTCTTTGACTAGTTGGTTTGTTTTCTTGCAGAGAATAATTATATCCTCAAGTTGAGACTTTGGATGCTATTTGTAAATGACCATCGCGGTTTGATAGTGTCTGTGGATTTACATTACTTGGATTAATTTTAGTGTGTCAGCATCAGTTGAGTTACAGACCAAATATTTAATTCCATAG